CGAGACGTATTATAATTATTATTTAATATTACATCCCGTGCATCGCACGGGCTACAATGCCTCATAGTATAGTGCAAGTTAGGTTTGGTTATAGCAGATTCGATGCAATTGACGACCATAGGATTAGTAGTTTGAGTTGATTAGGCGGGATGGGATCGAAGAGAACTGCAACGAAACACACTGAGGAGTTCTCTTCCTTTTTACAAAGTGAACTTCAAAGATGTTACATGCAAGGGCAGGACGTTAATGTGTCATTATTGTAGAGGAAATAGCCCTGAGGAGTCTCGACTGAAAGGTACAAACTTTTCGAAGCAGGAAGAAAACGGATGCGCGTTAGCGCAACGGCTTTCGCGCGTCTTGCTCAATCCCTTGCTTGTTCAGTGAAGTCATATGATGTGGATTCGGATGATGAAACTGATGAGAAGATCACCGGGTGGTTGAGACTGTGGCTGCGAATGAGAAATTCTTCCTGACGTAAACAAAAACGAGAGTTTTCTCTGTTAGTTGACCAATGACTCATTTAATGAGTCAAAGATGGCTTCAGGTGTCCTTTTTCTCACTTCTCGGACTAGTACAGGGGAAAACCAAAGCCAAAGCTCCAAAAGTCTTTTCCTTCTATGTCGCAGGGTTAAAACCAAAAAAGATTTGTTTTTTCATCGGATAATCACCAGTTGTCGGTGAGTAATTAAAATGATTGATATATGAAAGAAAATAAATATATTTTTACTATTAAATTTGAACCGAATAAATAAATAAAATTAAAAAAAGGAGATGACAAAACATTGTTTTGAAACCCAAGCCAACCTAGTGGACTCACAGTTCGATCGTCCCAGAGACATGCGAGGTTTAAGTGAGTCAATCATTCAGATATGAAAAACAAACGGATTGATCACTCCGTGAGTAATCTCGTCAAAACCCGACAAACTTGATATAATCGGACATTTATTTTAATTATTAATTACTATTTTTAATATGAATAAAATAAAATTACATCTATAGGGTAAATATTTATGATGAGAAAAAATATTTTTAAAACATTGAGCTATGAATTCACATATGAACTATTTATAAATTTATTTATTTGTATTTTATTTTTTATATATGATCTACCAAAATAATCATATTTTAATGATGTTCGATTTAACATCCATATTGGATCTGTAAATAAAAATAGTTTCATCTCTATTTATAAATAAAATTAATTTTATTATTAACTCAATTTAAAAAAAAAAAATTTATAACAATATAAAATTAATTTATAAAAATAATCATTCATTAATATACCATATAATATCATTTTATTTTTTTTTCTATAAATTTTGATAAAAATACATAAAATATATTTTGAGAAATATAATATTTCTCAATTTAAATAGATTATACAAAAATTGAATGTTATTATGCTATTTAAAATAGTAAATATAAAAAAGAATATCATAATTAAATATAATAAAATAATTTTGTTTTCATAAGTTTAGAAAATAATTTATTTTTATGCAAATTCTAAAATGTTAATTGTATGAATTTAAAATACTTGAAAATTTAATAAACTTAAAACATTGACTCTATCTATAAATATGAATATCATCAAAATATAATAAAATTTGTTTTGTTTAAAAAAATCAAATATATATGAATATCATCAAAATATAATAAAATTTGTTTTGTTTAAAAAAATCAAATATATGAAGTTGAAAATATATCAGTTATATATATATATACAAATATATGTATATATAATTTTAAAAATTTAATAAAAATATATTTTTTAAAAAATTCAGTATAAAAATGCGTGCACCATTTAAATTAATTATGACTTTGTTAGTTATTTATTATCGTTGCATATTCGTACATAATTTCACTCGAAAAATATTAAAACCAGACAAAAACATATGGTTCTACGAAATTTCCAGTTTTCCGCCATTAACAGAGGTGAATCCCACAGAGATGAACAATCAATCTGACTTCTAAAATTTTCAAACTTTTATATACGTTTTATTTAATCAATTTTCTGAGCTGATCGGTTTTTATGCAGGCGATCGATAGATCAGAAGGTGAAAGTACCCTAAAAAAATAAAAGGAATGAATTGGGTTCAGCGCAAAATTTACCTGTACAATGTGACGTTTGGACTCTACATGCTCGACTGGTGGGAGCGTTTACTCTTCAGTATCCTTCGTTTTTACCTAATTTCTGTTAACATTCGTCAGATCTGTTTCAAAAGTTTCAGGGTTTTGTTTAAAATCAGTTTGGTTGATTGAAATGCCTTAGAACTAGAAATTTTCTTGAAGGGGTGGTTGATTTGATTCGGATGTTTCTAGTTATGTATCGTTTTTTTTTCGTATTTTGTTCGGTGCGATATGGTTCGAATGGAAGTACCTTAACGTTGATAAGATACACTGGTTGTTGTGTTGATGTGGTTTGTTTGCTACAATGGATTTAGGTACACATCAGAGTTCTGCAGAAGGTATGCATTTTCTCTTCTTCTTATTCTTCTCTCAAGATGTGTTGATGTGGTTTGTTTGCTACAATTGGTTCTTATGGCGCGCTTCACCTGTGTGGGACCGCACTCGTTTTGCACCCGTTTGACAAGTTGTCTAACTATTAGCCAACCCGACAGCTGCATTTGTGAAAACTGACATACTGCCTGTTGGCTGTAATATTGGTTGTTTTTCTGGTCGTGTAATGCAAGTGCGGAATTTTAGTAACACAAAGACAAAAGTTGGTGTTTCTGAAAATTTTCTCCATTTTGTTCCAGAAATTGCTTGTGACCGGAATTTCTATTCTATCGCCATGAACTGATTCTGCATTGCCAAAATATTGATTTTTTGAAAGTCCGGCCTAGATTTTCCCTTAAGAGGATCGGGAAAAGGTGGATAGAGACACAGTTTGAATCAGTAAATCCGATAGTAATTTAGTAGTGACAATGAAGTTGGTGCATCCTTCTATTTACTGATAGAGTGATATATGAGCAAGAGTTGGATAACCCGTAATTAGTAATGCAACGGCGTGCAGTTTTAGATAAACATGAAAATACAGGAAAATGAGATGTTTACATAGTTGGTGGTTAAAATGGATCAATTTTTTTCTTTGTTCTTTTTCATTACTCATATCAGGTAAACCATCCGAACCGCCACTTGGCCTTTGCTCATATTGAAAAATTGGGCTTTAGTAGCAGCAAACAAACCTTATTGTTCTTATTTTAACACATTTTTTTTTTCTGTGACGACTTCTGATAGTTGGAAGTTAACATAAATCATATACCTGAACGCCTTTATATTCATTCATATATTCAATACTGCTTGCTGCTTGCAGATTTTGGAGATATTTGTATTTGAATATTTATAATGGGTATATTTAAGTGACCACAAAAAGGTAATAATGAACTTGACCAGCATCAAGGACAGTTTTGTTGTTTCGAGAAATTTAATAACTATTCCACTTTTATGACATCAGGTTTTGTGTTTACAATCAAAATGTTAGCAAACTTTTGGTCATGTAATGAGTAATGGATGCTTGCCCCAATTCGTATTTCATAGAGCTTTTCTAGTGCAGAAGGTTGACCAAGAAGATCATGATGTTCTATTTGTATTTCATTGATGACTATACAGGTTTCTCAGGCATGATACTTCATTGATTTTCGCATGTCAAATCCTTTTGTTGTTTGGCCTTGATTTTGTGGTCTTCTTGCATATTTCTGATGAAGTCTCCCTTTTGCCGTAAAATTTTGATTTTTGACGAAGCAAAAAAGGGCATTCTATATATCGTTTATAAGTTTCACGTGTAAATTGCTGCTGCCCAATTGTATTACACGATTCGCATGCAGTTTTGCTATTCAAATAGTCGTGAAAAACCACTGGCAATTAAGGTGTCAACATTATCATTATTATGATGATTATTTCTTTTAAATGAAATTATTGCTTTGCTGATGACTGCCTTTCGATACCTTGCAGGCTGTTATAGTGATCTGCAATCAAGTGCTTGAATCTCGATTACTGCCTTTCGATACTTTCCTCAAGTAGCTTTGTTATACCTTTCACTATCATTAGTTCTGAGCTTTGTTATACCTTTCCATTCTTTCCCTTTTTCCTTGAGCTGATGAGCAGCCAAATGCCTTTCAAGATTGATGTATTGTAATTTTCATGTGTCTCGTGATATTGTGTAATTATCACGTTTTATATGTGATGACATGATCCTGAATTTGAGCAATCAAATCGAGATGTTGTAATTTGCGCAAGTCTCACGTTATTGTGACTTATATCACATTTACATTTTGAGGAAATGAGCCTTTAATTTCTGAGAGTCTGGATTAGATATTGTGGTGCAAACACTGTTATAAAAATCGGCCTAGACGGTGCCCGGGCGCCTCCAATTTACACAAATCGGCAAAAAAAATCGGCCAGGCGGCCTTAGACACTCCTAGGCGGACTTGACGGGCTCGGCGGTAATTTTTTAGTTTTTTTTTTAATTATTTTAAATACTAATTACTTTATTTTTTTTCTCATGTTTTCTTTAAAATATATTAATTTTATTATTTGGACATAGGTATGTCGATTTATTATAAGTTGAGTTAATTTTATTTTGTAGGTAGTTAAAATAAATGAAAAAACAGGTATTTAATATTGATTTCTAGGCCCTGCCTCGGCGCTCTAGGCGCTGGTCGAGCGCCTAGCAACTTTTAGAACACTGGGTGCAAATAATTTCATCATGGTAATGACTTGGGATTTTCATATGATTATAGAGAAAACTAATTGGATAAATAAGATCACAAAATATGATTTTTAATACGAGTTCAATGCAATAAAATAACATAATTCGTGATTAGAAAAGTACCAAAGACCAAAAAAAAAAAAAAAAAAAATTTAAAGACGAGACCCAAGCAAAGTCCCAAAACAATATGATTCATAAGCTTTGCTAATGAGAAAAAGGTGAAAGATGCAAAATTTCACCAATGAATGGTAGTGAAGAAGTTAATAGTACTAATTATACTTGTTCCATGCGATTTTTTGCACTGTTCACAAAGGTGGCACTTTTGTTGAAATCGTCTGCCATGAGCATCCGAACTGCTTCCAATCCGGTTTGGAAGGTAAAATCCAACTGGAAACCAAAAAATATCACCAATGTGAGCATATCTATTGGCTTAGCGAAGATAGTTGCATCGGAATAATATACCTCTTCGCGTTCGTCCTTGTTAAACGGCCGCATAACAAAGTTTATGGGGTCCATTTTCCCCGGAGGTCTTCCGATGCCTATTCGCAAGCGAGGAAAGTCCCGACTGCCTTTAAAGTGATTTATGATATTTTTCATCCTGTCATAGCAATTTCAGAGAAATATCATCATATTAACTTACAATAATTGCAGAACAGAGACTCAGCTTATGCAAAGAATTCTAAGAAATATTTTCATATCAAGAACAAAAGCTACTTTGAGCATGCTGCACAACTGAAGCAAGGTAGTAAATTCAAGATCCAACGCATTTAATCAATATTCACAGTAGATTATACAACTCGTATTGGTATCAGCTCCAAAATCTCATCATATGTTGAGACTTGAGTGAGAAAGAGAGAGGATGAAACAACAACGGCAACCATCTCAATGATATAGTGAATACCCATTATGCCCTCCATGTCCACCTTTGGGTAATAATCTCAACTTTGCAAAAGGAAGATCCATATCGTCGAACATCTAAAAAATGATGCATGTCATTAGCCCGAAGCCTCCAGAGTGATATATTAGTATAGTCAATAGTGCATACGTGGTTGTAGATAATTTACCACAAGAACTTGATTCAATGGGATCTTATAGTATGAAACAATAGCACCAACCTGTAAAAAGGAAATAGCTCAACCAATAATCATTAACAGATTAGATAGTGAGACTTAGAGATAAGTGAACTTACAGACTCACCACTAGCATTCATGAAAGTCTGCGGTTTAGCAAGCATAACAGGAACATCTCCAATAAAACCTAAACGCATAACAGAAAGAGAACATGAGTGTGTGGGAGATAGAGAGAGAGAGAGAGAGAGAGAGAGAGAGAGAGAGAGAGAGAGAGAGAGAGAGAGGAGGAGACCGAGGAGGAGACCGACGTAAAGGTCTAAACTCTGAAGTAAAATATTACATCTGCTTGATAACTAAATTGCATGGCGTAAGCTAAATAATAGCTAGATATCTAAAATTTGTTTCACAAAATATTTACATGTAAGTACCCTAGCCGATGCTACATGATTATAGTTAAAATGATCACTTCAGGCCTTTCTCTCAGTATGTATGCATACATATATATACATATATAGGATGTGGTTCAAATGAGAACCAAGTCCTAGCGTGAGAACCGCTATTTTTAATTGTATGTAGTATTGTGATTGATTGTGTTTTATTGCTACTTTTAGCTAGGAGGTATTTTATTAAAAATAGCAATACAATTTTTATTAGCATTTGTGAAAATGATAGCACCATGCAATATTAAAAATAGCATCATACACAATTAAAAATAGCATCAAATATGGTTCTCACGGTTCTCACATTAGGACTGTTTTTTATTTGAACCATCCCCTACACACACATACACACACACACATATATGGATTTTCATGTTTGCCGAAAGTTTGTGAAGTAAATGCCAACTTAGCAAAAGGAAGTTATCCAACGAAAGCTAATACAATTTTTTACATAAACTTTCGCCTCAGTAAATTTTCAACCTATTTCCTCCATGAAAGACAAAGGCTAATGGAATCCACCAATCAGGAAACCCTCGGTTATGCATACTCCACGAATAAACCGAATTTTCACTATTTGAATTGTGACAAATCAACTCTAAAAAGTGCGAAAATGATCAGCATTTCAGGCTACGATTTCACACAGAACCCAGAGGATCAAAACGGAAATGCCCACGTTCTGAATCGTTAAGTTACATCCACTTTATTTGTCATTTTAACCCATCAAAAGTGTTGGATAATAGCATTCTGCACTCAATCTCTCAACACAACCAGCCATAACCTCTGTTATTAAAAACTGTTGCAACATAACATATGCAATTTTATTGTTATATCAACACTATTTTTCTGTAATTTGACAACAACATAAATGTTCTATCTTAAAATTTGAAATGAACATTGAGAATGAAGAAAGTAAGAACCTTTTCCAAAGGTAGATTTGAAGGAGACGGTGCTCATTGCAATCCCCTCCTCCTCAGCTATATAATCAATCAACTCAAAGCCCACCTGAAAACACACACACACACACACACACAAGGCACAAAAAAATCTCAATGGATATAATTGCTCTTTAATTAATTCATCCGTACAGAGACCAAAGTAAAACGTATGTGGATTCGAATGCTGACGTTGTGGCGAGTGCCGGCGTATCGCTTTCCGGGATTGCCGAGGCCGACGATTAGCCAAGGCTTTTGCTTTTCTTCTGCCTCCGTAGATATGGAAGCCATCGCCACTTGAATGGGTTTTCTGCAAAAGCTAATTCTACTGGTATATCGACCGTGAGCGTGAGAAGTAGGGAAAATGGTCCCGGAGAAGAGGTGGCGGCGGCCAATCGCCGCCGCCGCAAAAGAAGATTTCGGGAATAACGCGGATGTTATTTTGTTCATTTCACTATTTCATCCTCATTGGTACCCACCCTCTCCCCTAATTTATACTCCCCAAAAAAAGAAAAAAGCTATATTTAAAATGTTTTATAGGTAAGGGAAAAAAAATTAGTATCCAAATTATAATGACTCAATTTAATTAGCTTTGATACTGTGTTGGATATGAATTTGATTGATTTTTTTAACCACAATTAATTTTGAAAAATGTGGTACTTGTTAGTGAGAATTCAAGTTTAAATTAAAATAATATTTTAAATAAAATAATTAAAGTTGATTTAATTAAAAGTAGGAGAATAAGTGATGATTAGTTAAAATTATGTGAGTGAATGGATAGTGAATTATAATTGATGTGATATGTAATAATAATTGGTTAATATTATTTAATTATATTGATAATATTGAAGATAGTGAGATTAATTAATGTTAAGTTAAAATTGAATTTTAATTGAATTTTTACTAGTCTATTTTTTTTATCCAATCACACCCTAATGTTTTCTAAATCAATCATTTTTTTATTGGTTTAAATCGTTAAAATTTAAGTTAAAACTAAATTTTTCTTCAGGAATCTAACCGCATATTCTTATGAAAAAATATATGTATGAAAAACATTTGAGAAAATTGCAATGTTTGTCCCATAATACTTCAATTCGTCAACTATGTTTGTTAAAACTAACCGATAAGCTGATTTGTGATTGTAAGTGATTTTCGAGCTTATAATTTATGACTTACGACTTATGGCTGAAAAACTAGCTGATATGATAAAAATACTTAGTAAGATTAGTTGATAAAATTTCAACTAACTTATTTGAAAAGCTACCCAAAGAAGCTTATGAGTTAAGCTAGAGCTTTTTAAAAAAGTTTGTCCTACCAAATGAATCTTATTTCAATATATAAAAAGCTTATAAACTAACCAAATAAGCTATAAGCTAGCTTATTTAGTTATCAAACATAGCCTCAATATTGCTTGTGACATAGACAAAATTAGTTTTGTAATTTTGTCCTACTGTTAATTTATATAAAAAAATATCCTAGGCTCCTAGCTACTCCGTTAGTTGCCATTTAAGGGAATCGTATAGAACTCGTGTAGATGATTCAGGTACACATAACCCTAAGTCCTCTCCCCACTTCTCCACCACCGCCAATCTCCTCCTCTCTCTGATCAACCGCGCCTCCCCTTCTTCCTCCGACGAACCACAGCTTCATCCCTGCTGCTCCTTCTTCGTCTGGGCCTTGAGGCTAGTGGCCTTTCAGCCTCCCCTGTGCTGCACCTCGTGGTGCCTCCGGCCACGGCCGTGAGCGGGAGAGGGCCAGCGGCGCTCGCGTCGAGCAGCTCGAGTTTAGTGCCGCTGTTTTGTCTTGATGCCTCTCTCTCGGTCCGGCCAATTGCGGTGTCCTGGCCGCAGCTTCTACTGGCTGGCTTCGCCGCGTCTCCTCCAGGCTGGTGTCCGTCTGGTCGGTTTTGCCGCTCGATCGAGTACCCTAAGGATGCGCGAGTTTGTTCCTCAAACGTTGTTCGAAGTCGATCCATTCGGGCCTCCGTTTGCCATCGAGCAGTGGCTTCTGGCTTTCAGATCTGGCGTCGGTTCTATCTAGCTGATTTCATGAAAGTTTTAGTTCAGGGGTCCGATTTTGTTGTCATTTTAGTCATGTTCGTGGTCTTGTGGTTGCTTGCTTTGTTCCCGTTTGGGTTCTGTTGTGGGTAGCTGGTAGTAATTGAGGAGGTAGTAGTCTATAATTAGTTTAGGTCTGTGTTTGTTTTTT